CACATCACCCCAATGGAGCTATGTGCCTACTGGGGTTATGGTCGGCCGGGACTTCGACACAGCCCACGGGGCCTCACCCCAAAACTCAGCTCCACCAACCAGCTCACAACATCGCATTCACAGGGGAGGCCTGCCCCAGCCCCCACCCTGCCAACCAGCTCACAACACTGTGTTCACCAGGGAGGCCCACCCGGCCCCCACCTCCTGCCAATGCCCAACTCACCTCAATGTCATCAGTGTCATTAAAGGATCTCAAATGTCTGTGGACTTCTGCTGACGTCTCCCTCCCACCAGAGTGTAGACAGGGACCTGACTTGTCTCCCTGTCATAACAGACCAGGGGCTGACAGTGACTGGCCAAAGAGGGCCATGGAATCACTGCTGCGGAGGAGGGCAGGCGAGCAGCTCAGTGCACTGGCAGCCCTGCTCTGCAGCCCGGCGGCTGTGCCTTGCTCAGGTCCCAGGGCCGCTACCGGCCTCCCGTCAGTACTGCCTCCAACCTAGCCCAGCCATTAGAGCGAACCAAGTATTAAAAAGCCCTTTCTTGACTTGAAATGTGTTAAAAAATAATACTTAAAAAAACAAAAACAAAACCAACCCCCGGCTAGCAGCGAATCCAAGTCTATACCCTCATCTCTGCCTTGCCTATCCAGCCGGAAAGCACAGGCGCGGGGGGAAGACCTGTGCCAGTACAGAGGCGGCGCAAGCCGGCCCAGGGCCAAACCATGGGCGAACAGTGGGAGAGGCAAGTGGCGTGGAGCCGGGAGGCACAAAGGGCAGGCCATGGATCTTCTGGGCAGAAGGAACTTCCACTGTGCTCTAGAGACTGGGAGGATTCTGGAGGGCCGTGTGATGTTACTGCAGATAAAGCACATCAAAAAAGCCGACCGCAGAAGGAAGTAGAGACCTCGCCCAAGACTCCTCAGACACAGACACATGACCAGGTCCAGTCCAATGCATGTGTCTCTTACGTCAAATGCTTCGTGATTGCCCATGTTTCTCACACTCGAGAACGCATGATCCTCCCAAATCCAGCCAAGACAAAGTTCAGAAAATGCAAAAACTGCACTAAAAGTTACAACTTCCAAGAACACAGTTGGTACCCAGACCACTACCACAAGCACAGACCCAGGCTGGGAGGCCGCAGGGCAGTGCCTGGGCAACCAGACTGTCATCAAGCCAAAGGCAAAACATGCAAATCTTCCTGTAGAGAATTCAGACACCCGAGAATGCGCCAACAGGCCCAGGGCTTCCCTGCCTGTCCTCTGGGTGGAGGGCAGCATCACTACCTGCGGTGTGAGAGGACTCAGTGGAGCTGGGAACCCCTGCTGGGGCTCCAGGAGAGGAGGGGTGGGCCCTGGTGAGGCTCAGAGAGGAGCCAGGTCCAGACCAAGGTCTCCAAGTGATGAACATGACTTCTCGCCTTGGCCATGCAGATACCCATGTGAAATTCCCTAAACTACTATTTTTCTTCAGCTATCTGAAGGAATACAGCAGGAATCTGTATATCTCTGTGCAGCACGGTAACTTGAAGAAAAAAAATTACTTTCATTTATTTATTTTTTGAGACAGGATCTCACTCTGTTAACCAGGCTGGAGGACAGTGGTGCAATCTCGCTTCACCACACCCTGGATCTCCTGGCTCAAGCGATCCTCCCGCCTCAAGCGATCCTCCCGCCTCAGCCTCCCAATTAGTTGGGACTATGGGTGCAAATCACTGCACCCAACTCATCAAATTATTTTTATAATCAGAAAAAAAAAACCTTTTAAAAAACAATGAAAACGAGGGCTTGCAATTCAAGATAGTGAACCATTCATGCTGAATTGAAAGATGGTGAATTCCTTAGGTCAGGAGTTCAAGATCAGACTGGCCAAGATGGCGAAACCCCGTCTCTACTAAAATTAGCTGGGCATGGTGGTGGGTGCCTGTAATCCCAGATACTCAGGAAGCTGAGGCAGGAGAAACACTTAAATCTGGGAGGCAGAGGTTGCAGTGAGCTCAGATTGTGCCACTGCACTCCAGCCTGGACAACAGAACAAGACTGTCTCAAAAAAAAAAAAAAAAAAAGAAGAAGAAAGAAAGAAAGAAAGAAAGATGGTGAATTATGCATCTTGAATTGGAACTGTGCCATCTCTCCCGTCCCACCAGGCATTACCCACCACCCTACACCAGGCAGCATTCGACGGCAAAGACACAGCCACAGCCACAGCCACAGCCAGGACATAAGGGTGCGGCCTCAGGAGCCACACTGCTGTTTGCTAAGAAGAAGAAACAAGTTCCTTAAAGCAAAATCTGGACCAGCATTTCTCCTGGGAGTGTGCTTGGCCCCAGGGCACATCTAGCAATGTCTGGAGACATTCTGGGGCATGCTCTTGGCATCTAGTGGCAGACACCAGGGATGCTGCTGAACATCCTACACCGCACAGCCCCCTCAACAAAGGCTCATCCGGCCCAAACGTTGACAGGCTGGTCCACCCCTCCTGTGGAAATGGAAGCTTGTGATGACAGAGGTGCCCAAGGTCAGTGCATGTTGGCTGCAGCAATTCATGTGTGTTCCATTCTCTTCCCACTTCACCAGGAAAATAAGGAGAAAAATAAGTACCTGTCAAGTACCCAGGAGCCCCACCACCCGCCCTGACACTGAGGAACCAGACATCCCAGGAGTTACTGCTGAAACCCAGCTAGGGCTCCCAGGCCCTCTGAAGAGTAAGGAACCCCGTGTGTCTGTGGAGGACTCACTTGGCAGGAAAGCAGTTTAACTCTTCCCAGGTGAGGATCCAGTCCAGCCATGCCAGTTCCCACCACCCAGGGGGACGTGCTTTTGGACTAGAGAAGCAGGACATCCACCCCACAGCTTCCAGAGCCCCGCCCCCCAGCCCTCCTTCCCTTCTCTCACATCCGCACTGGCCCCTCCTAAGGACTCAAGAGTGCAGCTCTTGAACTGTCAGCTCAGCATGTTCTGTTTCATTCTATACTAATAAATTCTTCTAAATCAAGGATCCCTAGTTTCCCAGCAAAACATCTCCATTGTCCACTAGGAATCTCTCCTGAAAACTCCTATGGAAAAAAGTGTTAACTCAGTAGTGATGCAACTGTCAAAAGAGGAATTACAACACTATTTCTTTTTTTTTTTGAGGCGGGGTCTCACTCTGTCACTCAGGCTGGAGTGCAATGGCACATTCTGGGCTCACCACAACCTCTGCTTCCTGTGTTCAAGGGATTGTCCTGCCTCAGCCTCCCAAGTAGCTGGGATTATAGGTGCGCACCACCCCGCCCGGGTAATTTTTTTTGTACTTTTAAGTAGAGACAGGGTTTCACCATGTTGGTCAGGCTAGTCTCACACCCCTGACCTCGTGATTCACCTGCCTCAGCCTCCTAAAGTGCTGAGCCACTGTGCCCGGCTACAATACTATAATATTTCTTTACCTGTATGACTGTCTACATGACTACTTTAATCAGAAACTATGTAATAACTCTGGAATGCTAATAACATCCACGATCAGAAAACAGCAGAAGACTTGAAGAAGAATCCTCTCCAGAGACCTTCCATCTCCTTCCCTAGTTCCTTCAACACACAGGATTTCTGGACACCTTTCCTATTTGGTGTTTCCACATTCATCAGCCAGGGCCAAAAGTGACAAGCCACCACAGTTCTGATCTTCAAGCCATCTTGTCTGTTAGCTGAAATGACGGGCCTGGAGGTGCACTGCACGAGACAAAGTGGCCACTGCCTCACACCTGTCATCCTGGCACTTTGGGAGGTCAAGGCAGGACCATGGCTTGAGCCCTGGAATTCAAGACCACCCTAGGCAACAGTGAGACCCTGTTTCTTTTTAAAAATATGAAATAAACCGCTAGTTAATGAAGAGGAAGACAAGCTTGCTTCTGTTTTCCTATGAAGACCATCTACAGCAGGGTACAGCCTGACTTCAGCAGTGCTAACTATATCAGGTACCTTTTAATGAATGCCAGGCACTGCTTGAAACAAGACATGGTCACTTGTTTCAGCCTGAGGTGACACAGGCGCTACCATTACTTAAATCTGACAAGAATAAACAATCACCAAGTGGGGCCTGATATCTCCCAGTAAGGATGAATACAGAGGAGCCGGAGTCACACCCTAGCAGGATGGCTCAGAGCCTGCGCTCTTCAGCCCTTTGCCGAACTACCTTGGGCCTGGGGGAACGCACAGCAACCTGGCCACACTGCATCCTCCACACCTGTCGCCACTGAGACGGACGGACGGGAACACCAAGGTGCTCTGGGAGAAGAGAAAAGCTTCGCAGCACTCCAGCTCAGCCGCAGCTCTAGGAAAGCTATGACCTTGATCGACTAAGGAATTCCTTCCCAGGTGCTTTATGTCAAATCTTCTATTAACTAGCTAAACAACAAGTATCTGCTCCTTTCACTAGGAGCACAAATTTCATTCTAAAAAGTGCGACGCGGCTAGGTGACCACCCAAGGTCACGCAACCGGTAACCGGACGGCAAGAGCTGTATTTCAGGTTTGGTGACGCCCATCAAAAAGGTCGCTGGGTGCCATCTGGCCGTGAGGTTTCTCCCTACAGTTCCTAACTTGCGACCGGGTGCCGGCACCCAGCACCTTCTGGCCCTGGGCTCCCGGGAGGGCAGCCGGATACCGGCCGGGCACGTTGCGCACTCTGTCTGGGCGCCCGAGACCCACGCCCCGGAAACTCCGGCTGCCACCCCCAGCCCCAAATTCGCCAGCCTTTGCGCTGCCAGGGTCGTCGCTGGTTCGGCTCACGCAGCTCTTTAAGCAAAGGGGCCACAGTCAGGCGCCGGACAGGGCCAAAGCGGCCGCCCCCGCCCCACCTGCCCGGCGCGGACAGGGCGACCCCGGGGAGCCCGCACGGCCCCGCGAGGCCGCGCCCAGCGCCCGCCGTCCTCTCCGCTGGCCCTCCCGGGGCGGCCCCTCGCGGCCCGTGGGCACTGGCGGAGGAGGCCGTCGCTGGCCTCAGCCTGCGCAGCGCAGGCGCCCACCTTGAGGGTCGGGTACTCCTGGACCTTCAGGGTCATGGACAACTGAGCCGCCGACTCCTGCACCGCCATCTTGAAGCGGCCAAAACATTAGCGGGCGGGGGATGCGCGGGCGCGCTGCATGCCGGGAAATGACGCTGCGCGCTCCGGCCGGAGGGGGCGGGGGCGGGCCGATGAGCCTGCACCAATCGCATCCGCCCTCTTGGCCGGAGGCGGAAGAGGGTGCGGACCAATCACTGCCGGGTTTCCTCTCGCTCAGCCAATCAACGATAGCCCCGGCTGGCGGTTTCCTTCTTGAATTCGCGGCCGGCTGCAGGCCGCAGACGCCGGGCTGGCGATGCTGCGGGGATGCGGCCTGTGGCCGGGGCAGGCGAAGCTGGGGCCGAGCGGCCTGGGGGGCTTGGCGTCCGTCTCGTTACTCGGGCTCCTTCGGGGCGGTCCCCTGTGGGTCTCTCGTGCCTGCGGTCCCAAGGGCAACGCCGAAAAACGCCTGTTCACAGGCGCGTGTAGCCAACTATTTTTCTTTGGCCTTGTTTTCAGCGATTTCCAGCTGCTGGAGTCCTGATGTGGAGGAAAGGCCCAATACCTAATACCGTTTTATGGACGGGAACTCCTGACGCAGGAGAAGCGTGTGCCGTCTCCGCCCTCTCCTTACAGGGCGGGCAGCGCTGGCATCTGGGTGGTGCCTTCATTTCAGCCACTTCACATTCTCAGCCTTTCAAACACCACCCATCTCCCCTTTCCAAAATAAAAATGAAATTAGGTGTGATTAATTAGGAAACGACGTCCCAGTTAAGCCACCTTGTGTTTCACGTAACTCATTCCTAAACAATTTTTAAAGTATTTTCTTTTAAAGGAGAAACACCTAAGGTGGCACCGCGTTGAAGCCAGAATCTCCGCTTGGAGGATGGCCGGAGTTTTAACTGCTACACGTTACAGCTGGAATACACGAAATCCGACCTGCACTGTGGAATCTTTCTGTTTTATCCAGGAGCTGGGGACTAAGGAAAGTGTTACTCCTTAAGTATGTGGCTGCGGACTCCAGTCCTTTAAACATTTGAGGTAAATTTTACAGTGAAGTGCACAAATCTTTACAGCTTAATGAATTTTCACCCATATTTGCACTTTAACCATGTCGTGGTTGAGATTTAGGACATTTCCTGTGGCACAGAAAGGTCCCCTGTCCCTTTTCACGCTATATCCCCATCATTCTAACCCTGCTCCCCATAACAGCTTTCCTGACCTTCCTGTAGGTAGAAGTGTGCACTCTACTGCATCTGTTCACAGTTCGCATCATGTCTGCTACTCTCCCAGATGGCCCCAGTAATCCACCAGAGCACCGCAGCAATGGGATGGACTGCCATCCTCTTTAAAGACTTTGGGTTCACTTCACCAGGAATTCAAGATTAACCCAAAGGAAACAACACGGGTTTTATTTCCATGGTAATGCCATCCTAGTAACATCTGCAGCTAGAAATTCTTAGGAATGATGAGGCAGAGGCTTGCACATTGGAGAAATTGTTTCACTCTACAACCTTTAGATCATTTATTCTAGGTTTTCTTAATATTGGAAGATAAAACTGTATTTGAATTAGTTGGTCCTTTAGTTACAAAAGGTTGTAAACCAAAAAGTGTCTGAGACAGATCTCAATCAATTTAGAAGTTTATTTTGCCAAGGTTAAGGATTATGACCAGTGACACAGCCTCAAGAGGTCCTCAGAACATGTGCCCGAGGCGGTTGGGTTACAGCTTGGCTTTATACATTTTAGGGAGACATAAGACATCAATCAATAACATGTGAGGTTTACGTTGGTTTGGTCCAAAAAGGCAGGACAACTCAAAGCAGGGGGGTGGGAGGGGAGCTTCCAGGTCACAGGTAGAGTCAAAGATTTTTCTGATTGGCAATTGGTTGAAAGAGTTCTTATCTAAAGATCTGGAATCAAGAGAAAGGAGCATCTGGGTTAAAAAGGGGTTGTGGAGACCAAGATTCTTATTACGTAGATGAAGTCTCATAGCTGGCTGTCATTAGAGGCAATAGATGGCAAATCTTTCCTATCTAGATCTTTAAAAGCTGCTAGACTCTCAGTTAACTTCTTCAGAATCTGAAAAGATCTGGAAAGGGCAGGGGATTCTCTACAGAATGTAAATTTCTCCCAGAAGAAACAGCTTTGCAGGGCCATTTCAAAATATGTCAAAGAAATGTATTTTGGGGTAAAATACTTTGATCTCCTTCAGGGCCAGCCATTTGTCATGTAACGCTGTATTAGATTCAGGTTGGAATTTGGCATTTTATTGCTACAAAGAGTCTGTTTTGTCAGTCTTAAGATCTCTGTTTTAATGTTAATGTGGGTAAATTTTATGCCTGAACTGCAAAGGGAGGAGGGGATACTGAGGCATGTCCGACCCTCCCTTTCCATTAATAGTTGCAGGAGGCAGACAGAGCGGGTCCCAGTGAAACCTAACCTTCAAGCTGAAGACAGTTTAAAGCCTAGCTACAAGTCCCAGGTAAATCCATGGACTGGATTGAGAACCTGTCTTCCTGCTTGGTGTGCTTCCCTGTGATTGATCGCCACCCTTCACCTTTGTTACATATACCTACCCTTCCCTAATTGGTTTTTCAACACTGTTGTGCCCACTTTTGAGTGATGCCTTTGTTTTAGACATTTTTGCATATTCACAAACCAGTCAGCGCGCACTCCCCATTTGGAGCCCATAAAAGCCCTGAACCCAGCCACATGGAGAGAAAAACCACCTGCTTTCAGGTGGTAGACCACCCTCACATCCGTGCTCCACTGCCTTCTCACTCAATAAAATTATTCTCCATCCTCCTCACCCTTCAATTGTCAATGTATCCTCATTCTTCTTGAACATGGGACAAGAGCTCGGAACCCATCAAATGTGAGTAGAGAGAAAGCTATAACACCATGACCCTTTGCCCTTCACCAGTGGAGGGCAGCCACCCCACATGACGGAAGCAGTGGCAGGGCTGAGCCAGCATTGGAGCCATGTGCCAATGAAGAGCAAGGGGCTGGCAGAGCTGTTGACACACCACTCTCCATCACGCTGTAGACTAAAACAGCTAATTAGCATGCTGTAATACCTCCTTTGGGGCTTCAGGATCATGAGCACCTCTACCTGGGCACCACCATGTTCCCCTCATCTGGACACCAGAGTCCACCATAGGAGTGGCTTGCAACATGCCTTGTCCAGCCACAAGCCTCACATAGAACCTGGTTCTACGCTGGCACTTGGAACAGTTGGCTGGACCCTGCACTCTCTTGCTCACACGCCCCCTCCCACTGAGGGCTGAGTATGCAGTCACGGCAGCCGCGGGATCCACATTGGATTGCAGGCCTGGCATGGCCTAGTGGGCTGAGTGGATGGGGCATCTCCTGTGGCAAACCTAGGCCTGAACAAGGCCTGGGCAAGGGTGTCACCGGCCTGGGCTCTCTGGCTGACAAGTGACCAAGAAAAGTCCTGTGTCACCATCATGGCCTGAACTAGTTTTTTAGGTTTCTTTGAAATCCCCTTAGCTGAGGGTGGGGGTGATGTGTTCCATTCAGTTTGTTGTGGGAGCTTAGAATTTTATTTTCATTTACATACTTGAAGCTGTCCAATTGTCAGAGTCTCTGACACCAACTGCGTATCCTACCCCACTTACACTCTCACCCACAGACTAAGGGCTGTGTTCCACAAGACTGTCCCCTCTCGAGGTGACGGCTGCATGTTGGGTAACCAGGCTACCCACACAGCAGGTGATACCTTTGGGGCTCCCATGAACCCTTTCTCGGGTTCAGTAATTTGCTAGAACAACTCACCGAGCTCAGGAAAACACTTATGCTTCCCAGCTTATTATGAAGGACACAGCTCAGTTACAGCCAATGGGAGCACATTGGGCATGGTGGGGTGAGGAGCTCCCAAGTCCTCTCCATGTGGCAACTGCCCAGAACCTCAGGGCATCCACCAATTTGGAGGCTCTCCCAAATCTCATTATTCACAGATTTTTATATCTCAATCCCCCGCCCCCTCTCCTCCCCAGAGGTGGAGGTGGAGTGGGAGAGGGGCTGAGAATTCCCGCCAACTAATCTCTGGGTCTTTCTGATGATGTCCACCCAGAGTCACCTTGTTAGCATAAACTCAGGTGTGGTGGAAGGGGGCCCCTTATGAGTAACAGAAGACACTGCCACACTCAGGAAATCCCAAGGGTTTCAGACACTCAGTGACCAGAACCAGGGGCCGAGACCAAATATACTTCTTCTTGTGGCATAGCGTTCAACAGCTGTCATGTTCTGCATCTCTTGGTTTAAACTTCCAAAATCTTAGGCTCCAAAGTCTAGCCCAGCATGGGTCGGCTGTACATCTGGACCAATCAGCTATGCCAGTGATGAACTGTGGGGCACTCCTGGAACACGTGGTTTCCTTGTGTGGATGGACCAGGAGCGCCCAGGGAAGAACAGCCTAGCAGACGGATGGTGCTGGGTGTCTCCTGCATGGTCACCATGTGGGAGGACCTGACCTCTGGCTCAGGGACGCACTGTCATAGCCAACTCACACCACATGCTGCGGGGGCTCTGTCCACATCCCAGGGCCCTTCTTATCTCCACTGTTGGGCCACAGGGCTCTGCTACTTAAAGGTAACCCCCTCAAGGTCGAGGGGGTGACCCTGCCCAAGTGGCATGACACGGCACTTCCTCTCGCCTGGCTAGGTTGGTTTTCTGAGCTGGAGTTGTCCTTGTTATTTTGATCCACACGTCTCTTAGGAGGTAGTTAACACTTGCCAATCCTGCTGAAAAACTTAATTCTTGAATAAATGAAACATGTACCTCACATCAGGTGAGAAGATTTTACACATAGTTGACTGTTTCGTTGATTTCTTTTTTGAGAGAGTCTTGCTCTGTCACCCAGGCTGTAGTACAGTGTCATGATCACAGCTCACTGCAGCCTCAACATCCCAGGCTCAATTGATCCTCCCATTTCAGCCTCCTGAGTAGCTAGCTGGGACTGCAGTCATATGCCACCATGTCCAGCTAATTTTTAAAGTTTTTTGCCAAGACAGGGTTTTGCCATGTTGCCCAAGCTGGCCTCAAACTCTTGGGCTCAAGTGTTGACTGTTTCGTTAGTAAGAAAATA